TGTGAAGTGGTATATATTCCTTAGATAGAGAAAAGGTAAACTGGTATTTTGATAGAGAGCAGAGAGATCAAGGGGCGGGAACGGGCTTGGGCCTACCTTCGTGGGCTGGTTGTGGGCTAGGGTTATAGTTTTATTTATTATTATAAAGTCTATGTTATGTTTTCTAGTTTGGGCCTATTATTAGTAGAGTACTCAATAGAGTTAGTATGGGTTTAATTAGGGTTTAATTAATTTGGGCTTGATTAGGGTTTCTCTTAGAAGGCTATTTATACCCCTCGCCAGGGTTCATTCTGATTATCTTGGAATAAAGTTAGAGTTTAGCCTTTTGGCTTTGGGCAACGGTATTTTTATCGTTGATTATTTGGGCAACGGTTCACCCCGTTGATTTTTAATTTTCTGCTACACAACATATTTTGTCGGCAGTTAGAGCACTAATAGAATGAAGTAGAGAGAATAATTAAAATAACAATGTTAAATGTTAATTTAGGCAGAGTTATGAAAATATTGAGGAGTTTGCTAAAGAAAAGTAACCCATTATTAGAAGAGCTAATGTTAACAATGCTTCAAAGGAAATTTCATATGTTGTGAAATTGGACATTTAATGTGCATCCAATCTTAAAGCCTTTAATCTATTTTTTAGATCTTCAAGTCGAACTAATACATCATTTGCTAATTCATTTATGGTAGGCGAACAGATACCCAGATCCAAGAGATGCATGTTCAGAAATAGCTGCCGAAGCGTACAAGCGATGGCTAGAACATGAAACTCGAACAGATGATATAACAATCATCATCGTATACATTAAAGACTTATTCCATGTATGTTTGCTCATAGAAGCTATCCAAGACCTCTTATTTTCTTGTCATTCTAGGAACATCTTTTTACTGTTTGTTTGTGCATTTTATTTTAAGTATCTTCATGTAGCTATAAATTTGATGGAGGCTGTGATTATTATTTATTACTAGTATTAGGTATCACTTTGATAGGTATCACTAGTTTTGGTGATGATGAATAACGTTGTGATGCATACATTTTTCACATGTGTTTGGCTTATTTACGCACTTCATTTTAAACGTTTCTATATGCAAACAGTTACTGGTAGCAAAGTTCTCAAATTTGTTAGTCTCTCTATGCAGAGGGAGGGAAAGCCAAGGAGGCATCATTTGGTTTGAACAAAATTGATTAGAACCACACTTGGAAAAGTTCAAGTGTGGTCTCAACAATTAAGTGCAAACCAAATGACGGCGACCCTCTCCAAATAATGCAAATATGTTCCTTTTATCTCTCTTTTTGATTGTACATATCCTATTGCTTGACTTAAAAGCTTGGCTAATATCTTTATTTCATTACATATATTTTTTAGTTTTCATAATGGTTTATTATTGTTATAATCTTAAACGTGTGTGATAGTCAGGTGTTAGAACCACTGACTGTAGTGAAAGAAATAGGGAAACAGGGGAAAGGGTGCCTGAAATTTTTTTCACTCCTACTGGATCTGAAAATTCTCTGTCGGTGAAAGGTGGTGATGTTTCTGAGCTAACTTCTTCAGTGAAATCTCAAAGCTCCCCCTTAGCTCTCTCCTAGCTTATAACGCATTTGTGAGTTTCATTTTTCAATTACCTTTCCCCGCCCACCTTTTCCCTTTTGGCGGCTTATTACTTTGTTTATAGCTAAAATGGTGTTTGTTTCGTGTTTGCATTGCAGTAACTGAGCAGAGAGGATTTTCGTGTTTTCATGTGTCTGAAATGGTAATCATATTTTTCTTTCACCCCTTTGTTTGGTTGGGGAATATTGGAGGAGAGGGGGTGATATTTGTTTATTGATTTGTTGTTCCACCATTAGTTGGCTTGCTAGAAAGTAAAGATGAAAAGGTATGGTTGTTTTCTAATGTAAGCTTGACAAATGTGTGCTTGTATTAATCAGTAAACAAAAACTCAAAATCAACTAGCCAAAGAAGCCCTTGATGTGAAAAAGTGTTTTCTACCTACAATGCAGCAGAACAATGGCCTTTTCTGTTCTTAGAGCATCCCCATCCATGAGTTTATTCAAAGATCAAATTGATGATGTGTAAGATTATTTTAAAGATTATCATTGTGAGTGAGAGATTATTTAGTGAGATTATTCAAAAAGAAAATCCGGACTCAAGATTCCAATCCCGGATTATTTTAGATTATAGTTAAATTACATTTAATGCATGTCCGGAAAAAACTGATTATTTGAGTATTATTGTTGATGAAGAGTTTTAAACTTTGAGATTATTTAGAATTTATTGAATAAATGTGATGTGGCAATGATGTGTAACAAAAAAATCGTTTATTTAGAGAGCATGAATGGAGATGCTCTTAAAGCACAGATGTGTGTTGGGATTTGAGTTAAAAGTTCATTTCAAAATTTAGTTTGGTAGAAGTGAGTTTATATCAAAGAGTTTTGTGTTTAGGATAATTGTTTTTTGAGAAACTCTTGATCGGAAGTGGACATTGCTTTGATATAGAATTTATTTGAAATTTGCTCCAAACTGCTTTGAAAAATCTAAACACATATACTCCGAATTAAAAAAAAAAAAATACTCCGTATGTGTTTGCTTTATAAACTAAAATACAGTTTTTGAAGAATGAAAACAGTTTTAGTGTTTCAAAAGCAATTTTGGTATTTTCAAATCTGAATCCAAATGAGTATTCCTGGAGTACATGTATTACTCTCTATTTTTTGTGCTTGACTGAGTTTTTATGGCAGGTGGTTTTGCTGGAGATGGGCAGGCCGTGCACACAAATATGGCAGCAATTTTTTTTGCTAGTGCATATCTTTTTGCCCAGGGACTTGAGCCTCCTTTTGAGATATTTGTATTACCAACCATTTCTATTTTCTGTCTACTCTAGCACCAAGAAATGGAAGTGTCTGATTTTAGGTCCATGAGAGCCATTGAAAATGCTTCTCATTCGATTAGGCTGGCCAAATATTGCAAACGCATGAGCAGCTCGTTTGGATATGTTCTTTTTTTTTTGTTTCAAAGTGGTTATGAGTAGAAGTGTTATGTTGATAAATGTGATCCTATTGAAAGCATTTCTAAAATGTTATATATTGTTTGGTCAAGTATTTTCCCTTCTTTCTCCTCAAGTCCTCAAGATACACGCTGAATAAAATGGTAAGAAGTCCAAAATATGAACATTTGAAGGTATACAACAATTCCAATACGCTGTGAACGGTGAGCTAATAGTAAGTTCTAAGTACTAATGTTACATTGTATTTAATTTGTAATCAAATTAAAACAAGCATGGGTGTGGAAAACTCCACACTAACATGGACTTTTAAATTAGACTTTTTGTGAATGAATTCTATTGACTTTTAAATTCATGAATAAGTTTATAGACTTTTAGAAAGTTCATACGTTTAAATCTGGAGTGACACTGTCGATTGTCTGAATTTTTCACTTAGATCACCGTTAACAATTTTTCTATGCACCTTTGTCATTGGAGTTCGCCGTCCTCATTGAACAAGAGTACAGGACTAAACTGATTCACGTTGCGACTAGGTACGGACTCGGGCTGGGTGACCCGACCCGGAACCGGCCCGGGACCGGTACTGTTCCGGCCGGGCCCGACTTGGTGGCCTGGTCAGTGACCGGTCCGGGTAGGCCCGGCCTGTGGGTTATCCGGTCCGGGCTCGGCTCACCCAAAACAAGGTCCGGTCGGGTCCGGTTCGGGCCAAAATTATTATTATTATTTTTTTCAATTTTTTTTACGTTTTCGGTTTGGGCTGGGTATTTTGGGTCATTTGGGGTGGTTTGGGGGTGGGAGGGGGGTTAATTAGGAAGAGGAAAAAAAATGATAATAGGCCCGGCCCAGCCCGGACCCGGTGGGTACCCGGGCCGGTCCCGGGCCCATGTATTTAGAACCGGCTGCCCGGCCGGGCCTAGGCCCGTCACGGGCCCGACCCGGTTGCAGTCCATCCCTAGTTGCGACTTTTAAATGGTCAAGGACCGTATAATCATATAATGTAGGTGTGACCAAACCTAGATCAGTCTTTTTCAGACTTGGTTACATGTAGCACGGACATTGGGCTTAAAACCCCAAACAGACAGGAACCACAGTGCATTGCTACAACTAATGCTACCAAATATGGCTCAAAGATTGAAGGTTAGATATATGTGATTATTAGACCTGTAGAAGTAGAATAAAACCATATTATTATGAGAATAAAGACAATACAAAATCCAGTCACAGTCACGGTAACACTTCATTTGTTCATATTTGTGGGCTTGTCAATTATACCATAATAATAATCCACGCATCATTTGCAAATTGCAAAGTGATGCACTAAAAATCCTTTCTATTTTAATCTGCATTGAAAATTGAAAATGTTTCTCCTAGGGTCAACTCCCCTTCTTGATACTTCTCTTCTCATTGCAAGTCTTTAAAGCTTTGACTGCTGCAATGATTTCAAAAAAGATAAAATCAGTTGGTTATTTTGTACCACCTCCTTAACATAAAGATCGTCTCACTTTCCTTTTCTAATTCTTCCCATTTCTAATTCTTTCCATAATTTTGAAAATACGGAGTAATAACTATTACAACTACCTTTTTGAATTTATTCTTCATTTCATCGCACTATTCCACAATCTTTCTATTATAACTTCAATAATTTATATCCTCTTTCACTATTCATAATCTCACCCACAATATGTGTGTGTTCCACCGCGCAACCACATTGCACCTGAATTGCTGTGTGTTTTCAAATCAAAACGAAAAACCGCAATGTGGACACATCTGGAGGCTCTTATGAAACACCATTTTCAACTCCTTCAGAAATCACACCGCCTCATTCTCATCATACGTTGCAGCCCCCACATTTTATAATCATAAATTCTGTTAATTTTGAAACTTTGAAACAAGACATAATCTGCGGAAATAGTTAATCTTTGCCAATTAAAAAAAAAAAAGTGAAGGAACAGAAAGCTCTACCATTTTGGCATGATTTCCAGTTACGGTTGTTTTCAACAAGGCAGTCCTGCAAGTATCAAAGGATTATCAGCTCCAAATGAGGGTGTGTGTTTCTTGTTTTCTTTTCCACTGTAATTATACAAAAATAACTCCTTTTTATTATAAAAAAAATAAATGACTGTATGGGCACCTGTAAAGCTAGGTAATGGACAGAGCATTCTTGAAGTTGCTTGACAGTATCGTCTTCTTCGTCCGCATCCATTTGGTGGAGCGATGGCCCTGAAGGAGTCTGATTTGGCTTCGGCTCTTGAGCCATCTTCTCCAATTTAACCAATTCTGAGCTGCTCTATTGGGCGAAGACTTAAAAGCTGGAGTCTTCTTGTTTTCAAGAATTCAACCCTAAGAGCTACTCCGTAAGAAAGTTGGGCACAGGGATGTCCTGATTTATAATTACTCCGTCTTTTTTCCTAATAATAATGATCTGTAAAGAAATGTAACGACGTCGTAGCTCAAATGCTTTCTAATTGGTAATTGACACGTACCACCACAAAGCCGCCGTTCCAGTACCAATTCAAGTGAGGTTTCAGCCCTACACGGTGGTGCAGCGGCTGCAGACACCACTCAGTTGTATTGTATACGCAGTTAGGTTAAACGCAAGAGAAAGATGGAAACTGAGACGAAGGTAATAGAGAGCTATGTCGTGGTGCACAACATAGCGAAGAGGCACAACGTGGGGACACTTGCTCGTAGCGCCACCGCCTTCGGCGTTTCTGAACTGATATTAGTCGGCCGGAGGGATTTCAACTCCTTCGGTGGGCACGGATCCACCTCTCACCTTCGATTCCGCCACTTCCACTCTCTCTCGGATGCCAAAAGCTTTCTCAAGGTGCTCAGAAACTCCATTCGCTTCCATCTTCTAGGAACCCTATGATAAATTGCTTTGTTAATTTCTGTCGGTGTTCAGGAGAGAGGTTGTGATATATGTGGAGTGGAAATTACGGACAGTGCAAGGGCTGTCAATCAGCACCCTTTCAAAAGGAGCACCGCTTTCCTCCTTGGCAATGAGGTAAACTTTTTAGCTGTTTTTTTTTTCAGATTTTGAACTTCATGCCAAATTTGTCTGGGGAAATTTAGAATTTGGTGATCAATGAACGCATTTGAGATTAAACATTTTGTAGGGAACAGGGCTTTCCGAAAAGGAATGTGAAATCTGTGATTTCTTTGTATACATTCCGCAGTATGGGTGTGGAACTGCATCTCTTAATGTCACTGTGGCTGCTTCTATTGTTCTCCATCACTTTGGAGGTAACTGGCCGTTCTTTTTATTTATGTTTTGATTGAATACAAGAACTCTGAAGTACTAACTTCAGTAAGTGTATGATCCATAAAATGGAATGAAAAACTCCAGATTCTGATACAATTGCGATGGAATGTGGATTAAAAAACATTAGATGTTGGAGGAATGGTGGCATTAGGTTCACTGGATGCTTTATTACTCGTTAGCTAGTTAAAATTAAATTACCACTTCTTTTACTTACTGGAAATGACAGATTTATCTTATGTGGGATGTGAGTCGTACTTATGTACGGAGTAATATTTTAAGGTTTACAACTTTACATGATCATAGATTCATAGGCATTAAGAACACCCAGCCAAGTGATCCTTGTTAAAGGTATTAAAAGCGTTTGTGGCTACTTGTATTTCATACAAGTAGCATAGCAAGTAGCATGGCAGCATGGATTTTAAATAAATTTGCCTTGAAAAAGAGAGCAAATTTGTTAAGGCCTAAAATGGTAGAGGTGTATCTTAAATTGTTGAATTTGCTTAGTATTCTATAAAAATTATTAACATATATGGAGTGCTGAATAAAAAGTTTAAGAATGTAGCATGTAAAACTGAAAGTATACAAGTCAATTTCTAAATTTCAGCCATTTCAGCCATTTCAGCCAAAAAGAAGTAACTCTTGCAATTTCAAAGTTAGCATACTGGCTCGTAAATTCGTAATGCACTACTCTTTTATATTATCAATCGATTCTGTCAGCATAGCGGAATATGTTTTTGTTTGGTGTGAAGTGCAAACGTCTCATTGACATGCCGAAAAAGGGTTCTCCAAAAAGGTTGGAAATGAATTAATCAATAAATACGTTTCCTGGATTTTAAGTACAGTTGCGTCGAATAAAGGGAGGAGAATATAAACAACGTTAGTTACACACACACACACATGTCACACACTTATATGTTAGCAAACATACATTGCGTATTTGATCACAACTATTCTTACTATAAGCTTTTGACATTTTTTTTTTCAAAAGCTTGGGCTGGATTCCCTGAAAGTTCGCGTGAAGGAAACAAGTATGTTGTTGCTGAAAGACCTGCGAAACAGGGTAAGAGAAACTATTGCATGGAAAGTGCAGAATCTCTTGCTGAAGAGAGAAAAATTAAGAGGGAAAACGCCTCTAGTGGATTCTTTGATGAGTTCGGCAAAGAAGATTCCCATTCCAATTTGCTACATACAATGTTTGCTGATTAGTGGGAGGGAGAACCTGGACTTAAATCTCAACTTAACCACATCTACCCTTCATCTTATTTGGAAAACCTAGATATTTCGAGCTCAAGGAAGTTTAGCTAAGCCTGGATAGTCAAAAGTGATGCTGCTGAGCTGTGTTTGTTGTCATCTAGGTAATGCTTAGATGCTAGATGGTTGTTTTATTTACCTTTTTTATCATAATTTGCTGCAGAGATTTTGTTGTGACTTGATATATTTGTCCTCCCGCACGGCCGTACCCCATAATGGGAAGTAAACTGTAAACACATACACCAAACTACATATGAAATATGAATGGTTGGGTAAAACATTTAGGTGTTCTTTGATTCGTTAACACCATAGTATCACTTATGTTGGGCTAAATGCAGTGCAAATCCGATGAATTGTTTACAATTATTAGATTATAAATTCATGAGAAAAGACAATGATGACAAGTATTTTTTCATGTTTGATCCTACAAATTAGGTCATTTCCACTATTAGTCACTGACTGGTGGGCTTTTATTTTCCCATTGCTGTATGTAGCTCACCATTATGATTTGTTTAATTTTTACTCCGTATTACTTTTGTTCTATCTATTTCCTGGACAGTGTGTCGTTGACTTTGCCAGATTAAGTGTTACGAAGGACCAAAATCAGTTTGCATCACATGTATATAATGTTACTTATTTAAGTAGGAATAACCTAGTTATTTTGTCTTGTGAACAGCATGCGTGTTTGTTGATCCCCTTACACGGAACTGGCTTGGCTATCCCAACTAGCCACGCCAGTCCCGTTTATTTTGGATACCACCCCATAAAGAACCTATTCTATTCAATAATAAAAAAATAAAAAGAAGGAAAGAGAGGGATTTGAACCCTCGATAGTTCTGTAAACTATACCGGTTTTCAAGACCGGGGCTATAAACCACTCAGCCATCTCTCCCAAAGATCCTTTTTTTGAATATCTATAATAGAGTGGAGGATAAAAAGTATGATTCTTGCTTTCCAATTGGCTGTTTTTACATCAATTGCAACTTCATTAATCTTATTAATTAGTGTACCTGTTGTATTTGTTTCTCGTGAGGGCTGGTCAAGTAAAAAAATGTTGATTTATCCGGGGCATCATTATGGATTGGATTAGTCTTTCTGGTGGGTATACCTAATTCGCTTATCTCTTGATCCTTTTTGTCCAAAACTAAAAAGACCTTCTTCCTTTTTCTTGGTTGTGAGACACATTTCTTTTCAATATTATTTAATTAATTAATATAATTGATAAAAGTCTCTGCCCAAAAAATGAGAAGGGGTCAGAGTTCATATCATCCGAATGAGAATTTGGTTCGACACTGCACAAATTAGGAAACAAGTAGAGATCTAATCTCCATTTTATTCTATTTTATTATATATATAAATAAATAAGAAAAGAAAAACCGTGGATATGATTGAATGGTAAAATTTCTCATTGCCAAGGAGAAGATGCGGGTTCGATTTCCGCTATCCGCACAATGTCCAAATGAAATAGGAAATTAATCCATATCTTTCATATTAATCTAAATAGCAGGGCCTAGTTTTATTATATTCATTTATTACTTTTTTTATCTGTTTTGTATTCGAAAAGAAAAAAGAATTGAATTGGTCGTGCTAGTGAAGGGTGTGCTATTTAAAATGAGTTAATGAAGGCAATCCAGAAATTTTTTGGCAAAACATGTTGGGAAGACATGATTTGAACCCGTGACCTCAAGGTTATGAGCCTTGCGAGCTACCACACTGCTCTACTTCGCCCCGAAGCTTTAGCATAAAGACTTAAAATTGTTAAAATGAATAGATAAATATAAATAGAAAAACACAGATTGACTGGACCCCTCCGTATACTTTATAAAAAGAATAACCTATTTATACAGAAAAAGTAAAGGGGCCTCGAGTACCATTTATCCTAGAAAGCAAGTGTTCATCTTTACCAACTCGATCTTGTTGCTCCTGGCAGCAGACATGCTTGAACCATTTCACGAAGTATGTGTCCGGATAATCCAAAGTCTCGATAGTTACCTCTTGGCCTTCCGGTCAAAAAACAACGTCGACGAAGGCGCGTAGATTAATCCAATGCTAATACGTTAACGGTGCAAACGTGGCATGAGAGATATACAATCAAAAAACAATAATTAAAATATCTATCTCCTTATATAAAGGATCTTATATCATTTTGGTAAGTTTTTGTTCACAATGTCAAGCACAATGTCTAGATGTAGACATTGTGGTTGACATTGCAGAGAAAAACTTACCAAAGACACATAAAACCGTGAAAAGACAGAGAGAGAATTGTCATAAGATCAATCTTTTGTGTCTATCTCTCATGCCACATGTGCAACGTGCACATTGTAGCATTGGAGATGCTCTTATCAGCCAGTTTTACTACCCAACAATAAATTTTTATTTCACTAGCTAAATAGCAGAACTATTTTAGCTCTTTTCATGTAATTATATCCTTGTTAATTATTAAATTATAGAGCCCATTTAAAAACTTCTGTTTTCAGCTTGTCAAACGTTTTTTTTTACCAAATACACAACTTATCTATGTAATAGTAAAAGTAAGAAAACCCGATTAAAGTTATTGTACCCGTTTTAGCTAATTTTCATATAATTTTTTCATAATTTTATTAATAAAATATATTTGAAAAAAAAATGTCTACATTTGATCAAATTCAACTGATTTAATTATTTCAGATGGAATTTCATCAATTTTAGCAGATTAAGCCGATTCAGTAAATTTTAGCGCGGCCAAAAAGGCTCTATCTTTCAATAGTTTATTTTAGTACGTGGCAATAATTTATGTACAGTCTTATTGAATTCAACATAAATGCTTTCTCATATCTTCTTTTAATTAATATACTCCTCTTTCCCTATTTAGTTCTCCCAATTAGAATTGCACGCATTTTATGGAAATAAATTTTTTGAGGGTGTAAATTTTACGATATTTATACCATTTGTCATGGTTTAACATAATTTTTATTGTGCTATCGTTATGGAGTATTATTTAAGGGTAGTAGAGTCAATTAGTATAAATTTGTTACCAAATAAGGTAAGAAAAGTGAAAATTTTAACAACAAATTTGAATCAAATTGGCACATATTTTTAAGCCATTTGACATGCCAACAAATTTGCAAAATGGATTCAAAGCAGCAGCAGCATTAATCAAGTTTCTAAATTCCTAAAATCTGTCTTGCCGTGCTATAGGGCTATGGAAGACAATAGGACATCTTTCTGGTGAATTATTGCGACAATAATCTATTCCAGTTGGAGACACAAGAACACGAGTTGCCACTAATCTAGGAAAATCGTCACCATATTTATACCTATATATTGGGGTATGCTAAAATAATATTCAACTCCTTTTTCCTGGTTATGTTTTTAGTTATTCACACATTAATCGAATTTCATAATAAAAGTCATCTCTTTTTATGTAGCAGAAGGAGAAGAAACAGGGTAAGTACCTGGAGATTGCTTAAAGCTTGCTTCTAGCTAGCTTTAAAGTTCATATACCCCAAAAAAGTCCTTTTTGGTATACCAGCTTCTCAAGAGTTGAAGTAAAAACTGTTCATTGAATTATTCCAATACCATATACTCATATATACGTAGTATAGTCTATACTTCGACAAAAATAAATACGTAGTAATCAATAATAAGAAATAGATGATGAGTACCTCAAGAAAAAGCAGCATTAAGGAAAAGACTTTCAGCAGCATCGGCGACCTCATCAGGCTCCTCCCCACCGGAACAGTATTCATCTTCCAGTTCGCCAACCCAGTCCTGACAAACAACGGCCAATGCTCCGCCGTCAACAAATGGCTCTCCGCCACCTTCGTCGCCCTCTGCGGCCTCTCCTGCGGATTCGCCTGCTTCACCGACAGCTACACGGACGACAAGGGTCAGACACACTACGGCATCGCCACCCGAAAAGGGCTCTGGCCATCTTCAGACGGCGACGGCGACACGTCGGCGTATCGGATCCGGTTAGGGGACTTCTTTCACGCGGCGGTCACCATGACGGTCTTCGCGGTGCTCGTGCTTCTTGACCGGAACACGGTGAATTGTTATTATCCGGCGTTTGTGACGACTCAGAATATGCTTCTCATGGTGCTGCCGCCTGTCGTCGGCGCCGTCTCTGGAACTGTGTTTATGTTGTTTCCTCAGAGACGTCATGGAATAGGGTACCCTGAGAACCAGGGTGGTTCCGGCAAAGCGGCCAGTAAATAATAAATTTATTGATTTCGAAATATAACTAGGAAAATAAATAAGACGAATGCCACATTACGTGATAAAATACTCCATACTGTAGATATAATACTCTATCATTTATTTGTTTGATTCAAATTAATAATTGGATTCAAATTATTAATACATTATTTATTTATTTTAAAGGAAAAATTGATTTTAATAATCCCAACTATTGGTGGTGCGCTTATAATAATCTCAACTATTGATTATCTTAGAATAATCACAACTTTAGTGACCTTCCGCCAATAATGATCCGACATGACCGGCTATAAATAAATTCCTATAGTTTCTTAAGTGGATGAGAAAAGATATACTCTCTCTGTCCCGAATTGAATTGCAAACTTTGACCGGCACAAGGATTAATGAATGACAATAAATGATACTTGATTTTTACACTTTTGTCCATCTTTTTAAAAGTAGATGATTTTAAGTTAATGAGAAAAAAGTAAAAGTAAGGGTAAATTTTTCACTTTATTCTTATTTACATACCTAAAATAGAAAGTGGAAAACCATTTTGGGATAACCAAAATAGGAAATTTTGCAAATCAAATTGGGACGGAGGGAGTAACAAGTAATCCTTATAAATTATTTAACTTTTAATTTTTATGTTTTATTTCTATTTAAAATTCACTTGTTATAACATGTCATGGACCATTATTGGCGGAAGGTCACTAAAGTTGGGATTATTCTGAGATAATCGATAGTTAGGATTATTATAAGCAGACCGACAATAATTGGGATTATTACAATCAATTTTTCCTATTTTAAATTCTTTAATTGCAATATTGTAATTCATTCACATGTACAAAGTATAGGACCTTCAAAAGTTCGAAGTATCGTAGAAATTGTCAACAAGTATACAACCATAAAAATAATGCATACGGAGTATAATATAAGTATACTATACTTCGTACTTTGTACATACAAGTATACAACCATAAAAATAATGCATATAATATGCCAACTGAAATAAATAAATTTATACAAATAAATATATATACTTCCTCCGTTCTTAAATAAGTGCAACAGTCAACATTTCACACTTGCTGAGACACAACTTTGACCATTAATATATATAGTTCTCTATTAGTAAAAAAATTAAAAAAATTAGTTTTTGAATATTTACAATG